AGGCTGAAATCACACCCTGGTGTTTTTTTTTCAATGCAGCCTTCTATGTGCTTAGAGAAAAGAACAGTCTGGGTTTCTTCTCAGGTCAGTGGTTAGTCTTCTTGTTAGATGCAAGTTGTTATCTAGTCAAATTCTTTACAGAACAAGCATTCCCAGTCCTTTGGATAGGGCTCTGTCTTGAGCTTTCTAAATCTTTAGGTCCTGTTACCTTTTGGATTAATAATTCCATCTTTGAGTCATTTCTTACATCCACAGTTTTACGAAATGTGTGCAAGAACTAAATTATTTCTTAAACATTTGCATTTGTAGATATTTCCTGAGCTCACAAGTTCTAATACCACAAACACAAGGCATGCCCACATTCTTTACCACTTTACAACAAGGAGTGTGTTTTTCAATCTAGCTTCCAATAATACGTTCTTTATTTCTTGTCCTTACTATTCTACCAACATTCTGTTTCTGATACTTAGGGGATTCTCAGGATTGAAACTTTGTCTCCAACTATCCACTTTTATTCTGGGCCCTCACAGAATTCATGACACTGTAGGTCTTTTCTAGCATTCATTCCAAAATTTCTCCCACCTCTCTGTTTCTCAGTCCCAAGGCCACTTCTACAGATTTTAGGTATTTGTTGCAGCAGCATTTCACATCTTGGTTTAGTTTCTTTGGGCTTCTGTAACAAACTGCCAAAAACTAAGTGGTTCATAAGTAATAGAAATTGATTTCTCATAATCCAAGAGGTTTTGAAGTTCAAGATGAAGGGATCAGCAATACTGAACTCTAATAAAATCCTCCTTCCTGTACAAATAACTTATCACTACACATTAAAATATGAAAGGGAAGCAGAACTTCTCAGGGGCCTGCAGATGACTATAAGGGCACTAATCTAGTTATGAGAGCTGTACTTTCATAACCCAGTGACCTCTGGAGGCCACATACCAGCACATCAGGGGCTACATTTTAATTACGATTCTCTTCAGCTTACAGTGAAGTTATATCCTCATTATGACACCACATTGAAAATACCATAAGTCAAAATGCATTTAATACATGGAATCTACTGACTATGATAGCTTGGCAACCCAGGACTGTAGAGGATGGATTTTTGAGAACAATGGCTTGCTTCTGTTGCCCAGTAACATTGTAACAGGAAAATACCCAAATCCAAAAGTCCAAGTACAGTTTCTATTATACGTACATTATAAAATTAAAAAATCAAGGCAAACACTGTGAATCAGCATTATCTGTGGTTGATGATTGAAGGTTGTATTAATTGCTTTCCAATGCTGTGATGAAATACCATGAGGAAGACAATTTAAAAAAGTCATAGGAACAGGAATGGAAAGGTGAGAACTCACATACTGAACCAAAAGCATCAGCAGAGAGAGAAAACTAGAAATGATGTAAACTTTAACCGTCAAGGCCCACCACTAATAACATACATCCTTCAATAAGGCCACACCTTCTAATCCTCGCCAATCAGTGTCACCAACTAGGGACCAAGTATGCAAAGGCTATGAGGAACACGCATCATTCAAATCACTGCAAGACGGACAGAAACATTCAGACCATACCTACTCTAATATCACTTATAATTGTATTAGATATATTATGATCTAAAATTTCCACGTGAAAGGCAAATAATGAACGTGTCATGGTGTCACATGTTACCTCCAGCAACATCACAGGAAACTGTGATGGGAAGGTTCGTCACTTAAACTCAAGAATCTGTGATCGGTCCAGGCAGCATAGCGATCATATTAAAACCAGGCAAATATCATAATATTGGTATGCTAGATCAAATTACTTTATAATGCTCACATGAAACACATTTTCTATTTATTTATTTGTTGCAAAGTAGGAGAGAAACCTCATTTTAAAACAATAATACTGATCACACAATTGGGAAAATATTCATGGGCATAGTCTATGAATCTTTATTCACATAGGATTTGAAACTTCAGGTCTTGCAAATTTCCATAGGCTAGAGCAGAATGGATGAAAGACAGCATAATTTTGCCATTTTGCGGTAGTACGCTCCTGGTGACCTGAACTCTTTCTCATTATGTCAAATGCTGATGTCATGAGAAATCATACCTGCTCTTTATCTGAGCCTTATCTGCTTTAGTGGTTGAAAGTTTGTTAAAGGTTATATTTTGAATCCAGTATTTTAATTTGTTGATGTCCCAAAGTAAAGGTGAGACTAGGAAGAAAGAATGGTAAAGAATTAAATAATCTTCAAAGGAAAGGGTGAGGCGCCTTAGCCAATTTACTCTCTGGAAAGACTACAGGGTCTGGGAGACAGTAGAGGCCAAGTAGGCAACCGCACGCTTGCAGGCAGGTAGCTCCCATTAAGAAAGACTCAGAGCTAGCTGAAAATCAGAAGGATGCTGAGCAGCTGGCAACATTTCACAGAAGATGCACTGAAGGCCTTCAGAAGCGGTTGGTTTTTGCTAAGTTATCACGTGTGTTTTAGAAAACATGGACATATCCCAAATTGTCAGTGTCAATCATGACATGTCATAGTTGGGTATCTAACATTTGAAGACTACAGTATTATAAAATGAGTCATTTGTGTTTTAACTTGCATACACTTTTCCTTTCTGTATACTAATATTGTATGCCTATAATTTTTCTTTAGTACTTCAAATACTTTAGTACATTTGGGGCATTTTTTTAAAAACATGGAATTGGGCATATTTATAAAACGTACCATATTTATCTTTATGGTTCTGAGCTTCCTCACTAAGGTTGTTCTTTTTTTTTCCGTAACTTCACCCATATATGTGAGAATTTTACAATTTGATATTTTAAAGACATAAGTAATATTCCACTGTATAACTGCTCTATCCATTCATCCAACAGCAGACATCTAAGCTGTTTCTTTTTATTTCTGACTATTATGAACAAAGCAGCAAAAAAACAGCAAAAAAAAAACAGAATTGGGTTACATCCAATTGAGTTTTTGGCCAAAGAGGTCCCATGGGAATCCAAAAATCTAGGTTATTGTCAAGTCTGTAGGTTGCTCTCCACAAACTGACAGCAAGGTTCTGTTGCTGAAGACAACACCTACACAATTCATCTAACATGAAGATGTCAAGTAGGTGCCTACATAAAGCCTAAACTTTTACGTTCTAGTGTCTTTGGCATAGGAAGGTAGTCTGTATGCTACCAAAAGAGAAATGTAAGCACCAAGACAGCCACGAGTCCTTTGGTCTACATGGTGCAATGCTTGCAAGATATGCTAAGGCAACGGTGACATAAAGCTTGTGGGAGTGACCACCAGTACCTGATTGCACTTATGACCCACTCCGCAAGATGGGACCCTTATCCAACACTGCTTGGTTGACCAAGAACCAGGGACCTAGGGTTAAACCAAATAATACTTCTCTTTAAAAGATGTAGTGATAAAATGACTCCTAATGATATTCCACTATACTCATTCATCAATGCTAAATCCCATCTTCATCAGAAGCTCAGGAAATCCCCTGAGAAAAGGAGTCAGTACGAGCCAGGGGGCCTGGGGAACACCAGGAAAACCAGACCCTCTAAATCAACATGAGCAGAGCTCATATGAACTCACAGAGAGGGGAACAGCATGCACAGGGCCTGCATAGGTCTGCACCAGGTCCTCAGCATATTTATCTTGGCTTCTGGTTTTGTGTTCTTATGATGTTCTTAAATGTGTGAATGAGTAGGTCTCAGTTTCTTGTCCCTTCTCTTGGGGTTCTTTTCATTCTGTTGGTGTGTCCTGTCCAACTTTGATGTGATAGTTTTTCTTTTCTTTTATTATATATTATTTCGTTATATATATATTTTAAAATGATTGACAACCTAGACACTAACGTGTAAATTTCTACTTGCTGGGAGAGGAAAGTTTGTTTTCTCCAATGGAGTGACACTGGGTACATCAAGCACTCTAGCCTCAAGTTCTGCAGTAGCTGACCAACATATAATGAACTCCACAGTTATTTTTTTTATCCTTTTATTTGGTTATAGGTTTGTTTGTTTTTTTTCTGTTTGAGTGTTGTTTCATTTTGTTTTCTTAGATTTGTTTTATTGGTTTTTTGTTTATTTTGAGAAGGAACTTAAAGTTGAGTGGGTAGGGAGAAGATCTGGAAGACTTGGGGGAGGGAAAGAATATGATCGAAATATATTTAAATTTAAAAATTTAAAATAATAAAATATAAAAAAGAAGAATAAATAAAACCTGATATGGGGACTGTTCTCCAACTGTTCTTTAAAACAGAATATTAGCATCTTAACTATGCTGTCCTTAGGTTCAGTTCCCTACAAGAGAGCTTTACATGATTCCAATTGAACTGAGTTAAAAACTACAGGAAGTCAGCAAAGAAGCCTTTGGGGGACGCTGTTTTTTACCAGGAGTGGAATGGGCAGCGGCGACAGGTTGACAGAGACTAGTCACTGTGGCCATGTGCTGCCTGCACTTCAGACTCTTAGGAGACACTGCCTCTGGGCAGACTCCACGAGGCAGACCAGGCTGGCAGACACCACTACTGCAGCATCCTCCAGCAGATGGTGGCATTCCTCTCTGACCTCCCCAGGAAGCGCAGATCTTTTGTGAGACCAGCCAGGTAAGATAAAGATTGCTGCCGGTAGTCCTATTATCCAGCATGCAGGGAAACTTGAGGCTGTAGAATTCGGTGGGGTGACCGACTGTGTCCTGGCGCTCTAAAACAGGGCGTGAGCTGGATATACATGTTCTTAGGAGTTAAGAAGCTTCTTTGATGTAGTCAAGGGGCTGGAATCAGATTTCGATAGGTGGAGGGAAGAGCTTGGGACCCAGCAGCCACCTCCAATTCTGAACTTGGAGGAACCTAACCAGTGTTTTTAATTCTGCTTCCAGCCAGCGAGTCCCCGGCGACAGTGGGCTGAGTAGCTAGCGGGGAACGCCCCCTCCGGTGCACCGCCACAAAAAGGCTCAGAGATTCAGACAGTGCCCGGGTGCAGATCCCTGTCAACGCAGACTTACAGACACATCCCGCGGGGCTACTGAGTGGAATCGGAGTGGTCGCCGGCTCCCCTGCCGTCGCCAAGATGCACAACTTGTCGCTCTCTGAGCCCGGCGGAGGCAATATGTCGTGCGGCAGCTCGGCTCTGGGCTGTCTCAACGGGTCGAGCCCCGCGCCTTTGCCGCTGCCCCGGCCACTGGCAGTCGCGGTTCCTGTCGTCTACGCAGTGATCTGCGCGGTGGGACTGGCGGGCAACTCAGCGGTGCTATACGTGCTGCTGCGTGCGCCGCGAATGAAGACTGTCACCAACGTGTTCATCCTCAACCTGGCTATCGCCGACGAGCTCTTCACCCTGGTGCTGCCCATCAACATCGCCGACTTCCTGCTGAGGAGCTGGCCCTTCGGGGAGGCCATGTGCAAGCTCATCGTGGCCGTCGACCAGTACAACACGTTCTCTAGCCTCTACTTCCTCACCGTCATGAGCGCGGACCGCTACCTGGTGGTGCTGGCCACAGCCGAGTCGCGCCGGGTGTCGGGGCGCACTTATGATGCTGCGCGCGCTGTCAGCCTGGCGGTGTGGGTGCTGGTGACTCTGGTCGTGCTGCCCTTCGCGGTGTTCGCCCGGCTGGACGAGGAGCAAGGCCGGCGCCAGTGCGTGCTGGTCTTCCCGCAGCCAGAGGCTTTTTGGTGGCGTGCCAGCCGCCTGTACACACTGGTGCTGGGCTTCGCCATCCCGGTCTCCACGATTTGCGCTCTCTATACCACCCTGCTGTGCCGGCTGCGAGCCATCCACCTAGACAGTCACGCCAAGGCTCTGGACCGAGCCAAGAAGCGTGTGACCTTGTTGGTGACAGCGATCCTGGCCGTGTGCCTCATCTGCTGGACGCCTTACCACTTGAGCACCATAGTGGCACTCACCACCGACCTGCCTCAAACACCGCTGGTCATCGGCATCTCTTACTTCATCACCAGCCTGAGCTACGCCAACAGCTGCCTCAACCCATTTCTCTACGCCTTCCTGGATGACGGCTTCCGCAGGAGCCTTCGGCAGCTAATATCCTGCCGTGCTGCCTGACGCCTGTGGACCCGAGGCAGCACTGCCAGCTGGTTTCAGGGGAACCCTGGGAGTGTGGTTCCCAAGCAGCAGGCCCGACGCCTTGAGGCCCCTTCCCAGCATACAGAGCCTCAGGCCCTTCTCAGAACTGAGCGATCCTGGATTTCACCAGCCCTTAGGTGAGGTCCAGGACAGCTTAGGTAAGGACACGGCACTGGTTTCTCCCTACAGCTAAGGGCAGAACTTGATCCCCGAACTTAGGGAAAGTGTCAGGCAGTGTTGTTGAAACATGAATCCAACTCTGCCTCATCTTCTCCTGAGTAGTACATCTCTAGGATGTAGCAGGCGCCCCCCTCCGGCGACTCAGCGCTAGGCTGTGTTATTTTGCTTCTTTGCCTTCCAGAACAGACGCCAGTGATTTTGATCACGCTGGTAAACAGCCTGTCCTGAACACTCTAATTGCCGGGAATGGCGTTAAAGACACAATCACTAGAGGTGTGAAGTTGAGCATGCATGATGAAGGAGGCTGGAGCCTGGCTATGACTGACAGGAATAGAGATAATCACCCATGCAGTTTCCCAGACAACCTTCTTTCCAACCCCTGGACTCAGGCTAAAAGATCGCAAGAGCCAAGAGTCCAGAGAAATCACCAGAGCCGGGTTCCAGCGCCCTCTTGAGGAGCCAGGTATCCAGCGAGTTTCCGAGAACAGTTTTTACACTGTGGGGCACCAGCCAGCAGCTCTTAACATCCCTGTCCTTCCTGGTGTCTGTAAGTACTCCAAAACATCCCTCCTGCCTCCTGGACTTCACTGGTCTCACTCACCACTTGGACCAATTTATATGTGTGTACAGTTTTTCAGGACGAAGGAAGAACTCTGTAAATAATACATATGTCGTCATCTCACAGGCTACTCAGAGGACTGTAAAATATAAAATGCAACTTGTTTCATCCTTGGTTCCACTTCCTGAATATTCTTTCAGGACCTCCCTTCAGGGACAGCCCGGAATAAGACCCACATGGCACCCCAGCCTTTTCTTGGCTAGACCTTTGCTTACTTACACTCTGACCACAGGAAACTCCCAAGCTTTGTTCAGTTCTAGGGATTGCCTCTAAAAGCCCAGGGAACACCTGTTTCTGCCTTCCCACAGGGATTGCTGGTTACCTGGTTTTTTTTTTTTTTAAATCTCGTTATATCTACCTATGGAAGACAAGCTTAGAGAGAGGTCTGACCAGCCTTCTGCAGTTTGCACCTCAGACACTAGGTCTGGGATGACCACACTCATCAAAGACTGCACTGTCTTAAATGGTGTGTTTAGGATGAATCATTGGAAGGAATGATATGATTTTAAGGTTTGTCTCCTATGGAAAAGTTGGATTTTATGTGTAACAAAAGTGTTGGTATCAGATTTTGTTTAGCTAGTTTGGTACTCAAGCGAATTTCTCTGTTATTTACATTCAAAAGACCCTTCAAAAATATGCAGAAGGGAAATGCCCTCTCTTGAAAGAGGGAGACCAAGTCCGTCTCTGATTTTGGTGAATGAGAATTGGTTCCCTAGTTCTTGGGAATGTAGGGCAATTAAGATAATTTTCGAGTATTAGTTGAGAAAGTTAATCTAGAAGCTGTGTATCTTGTGTGTAAGTAACAGCAAATTGGTCTAAATAAAGCTTTCCATCAGTCATGCCTTTGAACCATTAGCCTCTGATGTGTCTTCAGAAGGATCTGGAATTTATTCATAGCCTATAAGTTTCTGGATAACATTCTACAGGAATTTCATTAAAATTTAATTCTTGTATGAATGCTCTGTAATTTTTCAAAAATAGTGTTTTAAAATGGAGTGACATTTAAATTGCACAGGGTGATGGATAAAGGAGATGATGGAACTTTGACCACAGATGCTAAGCACCATCACCTTAACTGGAAATTTGGTCTTCACTAGCACAGCAACAGCACAGATCAGAGGGAGACTCAGGTAGCTTCCTGTTCATTGCATCACGCCTTCCTGAGATGGGCCTGTGTCTCTTCTGTGGTCTCTGGATGCTGGTGGAAAATCACAGGTAGGGATATTATTTTGTCCCTTCCCTCACATCCAGGTACAGACTGGCAACCTAGTTTGCACAAAGAGAACTCAGTATCAGTGTCACTCTGGCTTCCTAGGTTTCTGGTTATCACTGTATCACCTCCAGGCCATCACCAGTTTGTGAGATTTGGGAGTCCAGACAGTATGTCTAATACCTTCCATTTATGTCTTAGGTAATACATAGAATAAATTAGCAAACAAGTCATATAGGAGTAGAATCTATAATTCCATGTTAATTCTTACAGCCTGTGTAAACTATGCTGTCTGTTTACCACTTCTAATATTTAAAATGTGGATTTGGTTTTATTTAATTTAGTATAATTGAAAATGTGGCTTTAATGCTTTTTCAAGAAATGCAGGAATTTGCTAAACAACTGCAGACTTCAGTCTAAAATAAAAGCTGAAATATTCTGTGTAATGAATGTATATTGTGTTTTTTTAAAAAAAAAAAGGCAACAAAGAAAAGAAAACAAAAAATCAACCAAGCAATAACAACAAAAACAAACCCGGGAATCTTACCCTACAAAATGAACTTGCATCCCATGGTCAGGAAGGCAAAACAAGTGTGATCAAGAGACAAGAGAGTAGAGAAAGATTGCCTGAAACAGGGGAGAAGAGTCTGAAAAATGATGGCCAAGGGAGTGCGGGGAATTTATCTGGAAAACCTGTACATACAGCTCTGGGAAAGCGCTTCAGGACAAGTTAGATGGAGCTCAGAAAAACAAGTAAATGTAAAAACATTTTAAGTGTGCAAAAGTGAGGTTTCTTGAGTCTTGTTTGCACTTGAATGGAAGATTATATGTCGGTGATTTAAAATCTTCCAGAACAAGCTGTGGGCCAGTAAGATGGCTCAGTGGGGGAAGGTTCCTGCTGCTCAAGCCTGGCAATATGAGTTTGAGTCCAGAAAGCCATACAAAGATGGAGGAAGAGAACCACCTCCAGAGGTGTCCTCTGACTGCCACGTTGGAGCTGTGATTTGTTCTCTCACGTAACCATGATGTACACACACAATGAGAGAAAAGGAAAAAAGCAATAACCCACATAGTCTTTTATGTAAAAAAATGTTTTATACCTTCAATAGTTTTAGTTTTATCTTAATAATATACATATATGAGTTGAGCTTTTAGGACTGTCCTGGACAACTTCATTGAACCATGCACTCCTGTCTACTCCTTCTAGACCTGATGCCTTTCAAGAGTTAATTCAGTTGTTTATTCTGAGATGAAGCTTATATCACTATTTTATTCATTTAGACTAATGATTAGGGAAGAAATTCATGCTCCTCCCCCCATGCAATTCTGCTCAGGTGGATGCTAGCCACCCACAGTCCAGTCAGGACCCTCAAGACCTGGCATGGTAGAAAGACATCCCTGGGCCCACCAGGAGCCTTGCCGTGATGGGCAGCTAGGTCCCATTATGATGAGCAAATATGGTAGAGAAATGGGAGAGAAAGAGAAGAGGAATGGTCCATGCTCTGTGGAAAGAGGAAGAATGGAAGAAATGAAGGCAGTGGGCAGGATGATGTGGGAGGCCTGCTTGTCACCCAGGGCCACAGTGACATCTGGATCTGAATTACTGTCAAGGACCATGTCTGGGTCCATGGTCCTATCACAGCCAGCGTCTGTGTGGACCCTCAGAATCCAAGTTGCCACCAATGTTTAGAGGGATGCTTAGTATCTGGGATGTCCCCTCTGGCCATGTAGGTGTCTGAGGACCACTGCGGGAACCAGGCTGATGTGAGCGGCCTGTGCTGCCACCTAGAGGCATAGAGTTATCTAGGCCTGAGCTGCTGCTTAGAGCCATGTCCGTGGCCCTATAGCAGCCACGGTCTGTGTTAATGTTTGTGACCCATGTTATTACTAAAGGCCACACAGAAGCCCAGGGTCTGAGGCCTTGTTGGTGTCCGAGGACTAAGCCATCGCTGCAGCCATGCTGGTCTAAGTGGCTGGTGCTGCCACCTTGGGCCCTGGTACTGTCTAGGCCTGAGCTACTGCTGAGGGCTAAAGGCTGTGTGGTTGACTGGGGTCTGATCAGCCACTTGAATGGAACACAAGGTCCTGCTGTAGCTGGCTCCATACAGATCTGAGTGGTATATACTACAACCTGGTGCCATGGTTAAGTCCAAGCCGTGACTGCAGTTGGGGTCTGTGTTGTTGTCTGTGGTTCCTGTTACCTTTGAGGGCCGTCTGATTTCCAGGGTCTGGGCTACCACCTGGCACTGTGTTGGTATCTAGGACTTTACGCCACTGGAACCATGATGTTCTGTGTGACCTTTGCTGCCATCTAGATATCAAGGGCTGGCTGCCACTGAGAACCATGTCAGAGCCCAAGTCCAACTGCAGCCAAGGTCTGTGTTAAAGTCTGAGGCCTGGGTTGCCAACTGCTGCTCCTCTGACTTGGCCAGTGGTAATCCTGATCTGATTGGCCAGTGCTTCTATCCCTGGATCTGATTGGTCAGTGCTTCTATCATGAGATAAGATGTCATCTGGACCTGAGCTACTGCCAAGGGCCATGTCTGGGTCTATAGTTTGGCTGTATCTAGGGTCTGTGTTGATGCCTGTGGCCTCTGTCACCTCTGAAGACCATAGAAACCATGCTTGATGAAATTAGAGGGCCATGCTGAGCCAGCCCTGTCCTTCAGTGACCCTGGAAACGCTGGCCCTGCCTCCTGCTGGACATGGCAACAAGAAAGCTGACCCTGACCTGCATGGCAAAGCTGGCCCCCGCACTAAAAAGAGGTGGACCCACCTCTCACTATAGGTGAGGGAGAATTTGACCACCCCCTCACCTGAGGCAGATGGTCCCAGTGACCTGAATTTACCTTCTCAACTACCGCCCAGGCCTACAGCAGGCCCTTTGGTTGGCCCACCCTAACATCTATGCCATCTAGAACCTGCTTTTTGCCAGCTGCAGCTTGTCTTGATGATTGGACACTTTACTCAAATGACTC